TATCGTAAAGTTTTAGTCTCGTTTAACTGTCAAATTGTGTAGTCGTGTTTACAAATCATCATACGATCGGATCAAAATAGTAATGTTAATTAATATTTCAATGCAAATCATCGTACGATTAGGTTACATGACCTAAGAAATCAGCAGTCTCAAGGCAAAGTTTGATCAATTTACAAGGATCAATTGCAATTGTAAGACAAACTGCGATGTGCTTGTCATAAATATAAAGCTATGCTTAAATGTAATTTAAACTGTCATTCTCATAACACACGATGCTGCAATACTAATTGAATAGTAAATAAATTTTCTACGATATCGTTATTTAAGTTGTCATTGTTTGAGGAAATGTATCGCATAATTGTAATGAATAAATATTATTAGTTTAGTGATTTCCGCTACAAAATTAATTCTTCCCGATTAGTAAATAAAATTCTGAAATATAATAATTTTAGTTTTATTGGCTAAGAATAAATTTTTATTATACTAATACCATTAACCGAATGGTTGTTAGTAATTACACAAACAATCACTGACATCCCACCATCAATATTTCAAGTCTCATTTAAAAGTTTGAATCAAGCGACTCTTACAACACGCACAACTTATAACTCGTTTGTAAGAATACAATACTTTTAATTAACAACATATGTAGTTGACACTGCTTAATAATATTTTTATCTAACCTACATATTATCTCAAACTGACATACGTCAATTTAGAATCGACATAAATTCCAAATTGACATACAACAACTCTGTGCCCCCAATACCCGAACCACAAAGTCATTACCTTGTTGAAGGCGGAGCTTCTCCAATTCCAACTTTTCCCAAGTTCGTAAATTTTGTGAAAGTTTCTTGAAGTCCTCCTGAATCCTCCTTTACCAAATTATCGAGATAATAACCGAAGACAAACGTGGTTGCGCTTGTTTGCGTTCTCTTGTCTTTCACATGATCGCATCGTAAATCTTCACGTATAGGAACGCCCGATAAATATTTCACAGTTGTCGACAAGGCCATTTTCAGTGTTGCCGCCGTGTCGACACGAAGATATCTTGCACGATACTGGTATCAAAACACAGATACTGATTTTTAATACCATATTAGCTATTGGCACGTATTTCAATTGAAAAGGAAAAAGCAAAAACGGGAAAATGGTTAAAAGAGAATTAATTTTGTTAAATATACTTAACTTTTTTGTAATTCTTTTTTACTTGTTTATTCTTTTTCGCACTTAAGTTTTGTTCGGTTTTTGGTGTCCAAACTTGCTGGCCACAAACTTTTATCTAGTGTGATGGTTGGCCATACGATGCTAGATGTATATGCTTCACTATTTGTGTGAATAAATCAAATAATGAAAGCCATGCCACTACATATGAAATCAATATTAAGTCCAGTATGAGAGCGTTCAAAACATACCAAACCATGACCTTAATTAATATGAGGGTAGTACGTACGCGTGTAAGACAGTCTTTCAAAAAGTTTACTAATAAATTGGTTCCGCGAACTAGTCGTCCCGTTTAATAATTGTACATAGGCAAACTCGATAAGTCGGACTCGTCCTGTGTCCGACTTAATATTAACGAGATATCCGACTTTATCATAATAATAAATAATAAACGTACTTTTTATTTGCATGTTATGAGCTAATACAAACTGTTTTAAAATCGCACCGGTTATTGTATGATTAGCCTCATTGGCAAGATTTACCCAAATTGCCAACGCTTCTTCCACCGTGGCCATTCACCCCTACGATTACGTTTTTTACTGGCATTTATTGAGCTTTCGGCCATTTCTCTTTTTCTCTCCTACAGTTGATTTCCTACCAATCTCTTCATACGACTTGGTTGGATTATTTCTCTCATATTTGCATAATTCTTTTTTTTTTTTTTTGAATATTAATTAGTGAGGTTAATTTTCTTCTCTTTTTGCTTCCAAATCTTCTGCGTTCAATAATTGCAGTTTGGTTGTAAATTGGAATACGTTTTTGAAAGCAATTGACTATGTCAACCTTTTTATTGTCTTTCTGAACAATTAAGACAATTGTATCAATGTATTACAAATGATATATTACGATAAATAAAGGATAATAAAATATTGTTAGATGCTAAATAATGACGTGAATTATTTTGTTACGTTACTAAAATCGTAAAGATTATCCGTAAAAAATCACGTGGTCTGATAAACATTCCGCCCCGCTGTCAATATCTGTATTGCTAACGTCTAAGTACTAAATTCTTTAAAGGCTCCGACTTATCGAGAGTCATTTGGTCGACAGGATTGTCCGAGTTACGACTTATCGCGATTTTTTATATATCGTCGAAAATTTTTAACTATTCAAAAAAGTGCGTCGTGATGTATTGAGTTGTAATAATGTTAATAACAAACTTATTCAGTGCTAATCATATTCGTATTAAATAAAATACTACCATCAGTAGTGAAATTAATAAATCTATTATATACATAGGCAAACTTGGCTTAACTCGGACAAAAATTTTCGGCCCCAGCACTACATGCCTTCAACGATGGAGCATCCACAAGAGATGAGAAACAATTCTTGACCCCCGCCATCAGCGTAATTTAGGCACGATTTTATTGACATTAACGTCCTGTACACTAAAATTCGGATGCATGTTTTTCATAGCGAAATTGATGACCTTGGGCTTTAGTCTTACCGTCATCGGTATTAATATCTCGCATTGCACAGTTGTTTGTTGTTATTGTTGGTTTTTTTATTTCCCACTATTCCTGTATAAGTCCTCTCTATATGCACGTAGTAGTTTCATGTGATCTACAAAAGCCACACTACATAGTCAAAACGACGACATTATAGTATAAGTTTTACATACTAATATGCGTTGTCGTTATACCTTATCACTATTTAAAATAAATCTTTATCGACTTGCTAACTAGTAAATCATGATTGTTTAATAGCAGACAATATTATATCCTTCGTCTTTATGGGATAACTCGTGGCAAAGAGACAGAAAATAAAAACAAAAACATTATTTCCAGCTATTGACACTTGAGTAACCGAAACAGTTAACTTGTAATAAAATTATAGTTTAATAGCAGCATCAATGTATGTGTTTGCATAAAAAACTAATAAAGAGGGCTAAACCTTTTGCTAACTTCTTTGCTTTAATGCTAAAATTCTTCAGGCCAACATAAATGCTGAGTGAGCCAAGTAGATTTCCTTACAAAGACCATTCGGCAAGCTCGCACAAAGTTATTATGAATATTGATAGTAATAGTGTTTTCGAATAATCCAGACGACATTATTTATGAAGTGCCCAATAATAACAAACTTATTGAGGCCTTGTTAATATAACGTATAAACAACCGTCGGATGTCCCTGTTGATAACAGCCAATAATTAGCGTAAATTCTGGTGATAGTGATGTTGCAATAGTTTGGAGGCTGTTTGTCACAGCAAGAAGATTAGAATATTTAAGCGTTAGATTATTACATTAGTTTAAAACTAATAAACGTAATGAAAGAATCAAACATAGACGCGTTTTTTAATCAACGACCATGATAGTTACTTTTGCTGAAGTTCTTCTCATCTTTACAAATAAGGAATCACTCACGTGTGGCCAATGAAATGCTAACCTCTGTAAATGCATCTATATATGCACATTCTGACCATCTCCCCGGGTGTGTATTTTTCTACAACCATTACTATGTTTTACCGCCCTGGAAACCTTCCTCAAATAGTTAATGCTTTTCAGATACTATGGTACTTTGACGTATTACTACATTGGAAAATTCTTTGCTTTACACTTAGAATACTACTGATTAAAATATATTCGGCTACTTGCAATTCATTCCAGTTAAATTGTATAACGTACGGTATATTTCATTTTCGTGTTATTGTAAGAGACACCTATATTAATAATGACAACAGAGCAGGCTATCCTTATTGACTAGCTTAATAGTAAACCTGTATTTTTCTCTTACAAAATGGTTTCATTAAATTTGAAATTCATTCTAATGCACCAGAATGGCTACTGCAATGAAAAGACTTTTATTGGATAATAAGATCTGTAAATCAATAAAAGGCTAAAATATACACATGATCATTCTCTTGTAAAGCTTAGTTCGCAATATTAATGGTTTTTTTTCATCTGCTTAAGCTGTTACATAACAGATCAGATAACGTTCAGTGCAGCAAAACCAATACAAGTTCGATTATCTTTGGAAATTGTGGAACAAAAATAGAACGATGGTGGCGTTAAGATTAGACCCCTGAAACTCTTTATTGTTATCTTTGTTACTCCTAATTGATAAACTAACTGATCGATCCCCGGACAAAAAAAAAGATTTTGGATTGATTAATAAAATGATATCCAGATACATTCTACATGTTCGACGACATTCACATCTATAATCATAAATATCATCTCTATCACTATATATTTAGCGAACACACTTTCTTACTTATTCGCTTGGCTCTCTTATTCACAAGCAGTAGTATAAATACATCGAGTTTGTCGTCAGCCACTCGCTACTTCTTCGCAAGGAAAGCGCCAAAGGCGTTGTTCCAAATACGTGGTAGGCTTAATATTAAAACGAAATGGTTGATTATTTATCAATGTTATATAACACGTGGCTCAATATTGATTTGAGATTGTTCTCTTCTTTTGCTTCTTTATCATATGATACTTTTCTGCCAGATCCCAGTCTAATATTAGCAGCTTTACGGAATTTTCTCCGGTGAGAAGGTAAAATTAAAATGTCAACTTTTTATAAATCAGGATATTACGAAAATATCTGTCTCAGCATGATAATAAGAGGTTGACTGTTAGATAATATCGATACAAACAAATACGAATATCGACTTAATTTGTACGGTGAGTAATGAATAAATTCACAATAAGAATGCAGTAAACATTCTTGCCTCCTCCAACGCAAGACTCTGTTATAGATTTACGTGATCACATAATTCCCAATCTCACATCATCCTTTTTTATCTTATATCATCAAAAAGGCCCGGCTATTAGCCATGTCGTCAAAGACAGATTCTTTACAAACACTTTCATTCATCGCTCACTCAATTCGCTCATTCCTCGTTTTCTTCGTTCTCTTAATATCTTCTACTTTATGTTTACCAGTAAATCCCATTCTCCCATCTGCACCTTGCTCTGTTGTGCACAATGACTATATATACACATTTGATGGAATACAAGGCTTGGGATCTGAATCCCTACAGTGGACATTAAGTAGAGCAAAAGGACCATTTCGGAATAACCATATTGAGTGGGAGCATGTGCATAGCGATGGAAAATTACAGAACGTGCTTTTTGCACAGTGTGTGATGATTGGTGCGGAAATGATTGTAGTTGGAGGAATGAACAGTAAACGCGTAACGTTGAGCGAGAAAGTTAATGAAGGGAATGAATTTGTTCCTAGAGTGCAGTTGTACAATATCGAGAGAGGTGAGTGGAGTATTATCAGAGATGGAAGACTGCGATTTGATAGAATGAAAGTCGGCGCTGTCAATGAGACGGCCGTTGTGGCTATTGAAGGGGTGGGCGGTGAGTATTCTGCAGAGACAAGTAATCATAATAGCAACTTCCTGAATAAAGGTTTTATATGGAACCTGGAGGATAATAGGGTCGAGTTCATCCCCCTTCATAATATACCTTTAATCTCGTTTGCTGGATCAGTGGTGATTGGAAAGTATTTATATATTATTGGGGGAATGATAAGATCAGATACTGGAAGAAGTAAAGGAACAAGAGATATTTGGAAGTTCGATCTCACTGAACATGAGTGGACGTTATCAGATATGTCGTTGGACGCTGAATTTGTAACCATCATAGCAGTTGGTTATAAGAACGAGAGTATATTTGTATTACCCGGCCTCGATTCTTTTGAACGCATTTCAGAAGGTGGCTTGCGTATCTTAGACATAACCAGAAATTCCACAACGATCATCAGCAATCCAACACTTCCTCGGTGGGGACATAGTATGCTAGTACTTGGAGATCAATTGGTTATTCACGGAGGTATCTATGAAAATGGAGATACTCTGTGTGACATTCACATACTCAATATACCGTCGCTGACACGGCAGAGAAACGCAAGAATGAAAGCAAGGGATAATGTACCTCAGAACGCTGTCAACGATAATACGATCCAAGTTACGGAAGTTAACCGAGGGAAAAAGGATGAGACGTTGCTCGTTATTGGTTTGACAGCGACGGGTGTGATAGCATTTTTATGTCTTGCTATGCGAAAAAAGAGATTGTCAATAAGAAAATCAAAGGACAAGAACGACGTTGAACCTGGAGATATGTCCACTCAGGATATAAATAGCTCAAAAAGCGGGTCGAGTGAACAAAAGGGCGAATCCTCAAGTGCCTCCCGAAATCGTCTACGCTCTTTATTACGCCTAATATCAAAGCAAAAACGATCAGAGTCCTCAACCAATTCTAGGTCTTCATCACCTGCCTCACCATCTCAATCGCCTGTCTCGTCATCTCAGCCACTTGCATCATCTCAACCGTCTACCCCGCTTATTGAGCCTACCTTGTCGTCTCCTATTGCTACTTCATCATTTCATGTTTTTCCTTTATCACCTTATCTTACTTCATCGTCATCTAATTCTACTTCTTCGTATGATCTACAAGATCACCTTCCACCCACCATGCTTTCAAAACGACCGGTTGAGCTCATAACATCGTCTCGAGTTTCTCATTTCCGGCTTCCTTCTCGTTTCGTAGCGCTTCAGAAGAAGATAATACAGCCTCACGTTAATCAATCTGTTTTCCCAAGGCTATTCATGCTATTTCCTAATCCGGGAGTCGATCCAGAAGATGTGTTCAATCCAAAGAAATGGAACACAGAGACATTTGGCTTGTACCTTTTGTGTGAAGGATTATCGAATGACAATGATGGTATACATATGCCTGCATTAGATGAGGCAGGATATGGTCTTGATGCTGATCCGCTCGAGTTCATTCGGTCAATTGGTCCTTATATTTCCATTATATCTGACCTGATGGCAGCTATTTTGTCAGCCGATTTATATAACAAACAGAGATCAGCAAAGCATAAGCCTGTAGACGTAGGATTTGATCCAGCGTTATTAAATGATCCTGAAGAAGACGAGAGTAGGATGAAGAGAAAACAGATAGACTTTTTTAAGCAGATGAGCGAAATGTTGGAAGATTTGACTGGAGAAAAGAAACTCAAAGGAAAAAAGTATCTGAAAACATTAGAGGCCTGTCAGCTGCCTGCATTTGAAGCTGTTGGGAAGCTCTTGAAAATTGAATGGAGAAATCATAAGACGAGTAACAAGGAGGAAAGTAAGAGAGATGATGTAGAATATGAAAAGGACAATGATTCGGAGAGTAAGAGGGATAGGGAGATTGAGAAGAAGGGTGAAATCACATATATGTGTGGATTATTCAAGGTGCGAGTAAGTACAATGTTTGATGACATACCTGGGCATTCAAATGTTTCCAGATGGGTCTGTGAAAAATGCCGGTCGTTACACATTTCACGTACCAGTAAACTTAAATCACCTAAAAAATAATTGCCTGTCAGTCTTGTGTAGTGGTTGGGGTTAGTATAATGTTATTATAGATGGGCTAGCGGAATTTAGCATGGCTAATAGAATAATAAAGACAAATAATTTAGAGTGCATACTGTAATTGTGATCAGTTATTACAAACGGCAACACTCAACATTCCATTAAGAAAAGTATCCTTTCTCTTACTTGGGATAGGCTCTACACGTTGCAATAACAACCAATTCTCATCCAATTAATGAGCTCACATTGGTTGCTGTGTAGTATGTATCTGTCCCCGCCTTTATTTACATTCATAGCACCAGCCCAATTGCCCAATAAGCTGCCAACATCTTTTCTGATACGTTGTTCGAGTTGATTATTAATGGATTAACAATCAATAATGATTATCAATGCAAGACGTTGACGCAAATATTTACGTGTTTTCTGTGTTTGAAATAGAATTACATGAACGCGTGTGCATTTGGTAAGAACTTGATGCATGCAAACCAAGCAAGATAAAATTGATTTCATATAAAAATGACTAGATACTTACAGAACGGCATTGCTCTATCGTAGAATCATCAAAATCATCATTTTTCTCCTTGAACCTGCTGTCTATAATTTCGATAACACATGATACTGGTGTTACTGTAATTATTAGATGAGATCGATCATATCTATACATGTTTAGACTCATTGTTGCCAACGTTAATGTTCCACTACGTATCATGCAATATTTAATTCAGTATCTTATCTTGAGGTAACGAAGATAAGAAAATCGCAACGTAATACACATCAGGACAACTATACTTTTTATATCTGTGTGGGAATTATTGGAAACGATCGGTATCCACTCAACCATTTTTAACTTCCTTGCTAAATGATAGGGTGGGCTAATATTTGGTTTTTCAAAGAATGGCTTAATATTAATATTAATGTCGGAAGGAGTGTCAACGTATAGAAAGTCAAAATCTGTTCAATTGCAAATAACTTCTTTAATCCTCCAATCTGCTAGTACTTCAGAAATATGTAGCAGATGAGAGATTAGATGTGATTCTACTTGGTGCGTTTTTAGTTCTGCTATACCTTTCTTTATTTTGCAAACAGGACTAAATTTTTGCAATTATAACAGCTATAATAATTAGTATAACAAAGGGTCAGTCAAAATCCTGCCGCACTATTTATTACCAAAATAAAAGAAATATTAGGCAACATTGTAAGATTTAATTCATGCATAAGAGATGTTCTCCTAATACTAATGTAAAAATAATTACCTAATATCTTGATTCAAAATAAAGCTGGCAATTATATTACAAAATAAAACTTGGAAGTTATTCATGCGAATGCCCAAAGTTTAATATTATAATGTAATAATAAAAAATTAATGTATTAAATTGATAATCTTTGATAATAAAATTTTGTGGCGGCAACTACGTTTCTGTTCTCAGTAGTTCAACTTAGTGACTATTAAGTGAATGTCAGACCCCGTGACATTTACCTTATTGCAAAAAACCATTATTTCGTTAAAGCTCTAATTCGATGTTGCGAACCTCGTTTCTATAACACGAATTTACTGTATCTACTCTATTGCTGTAGGGTAAAGGCTTTATCATACCAGATTTCTTCGCTTTGAGTCAATAGTCAAATATGTACGGCGTAAAAAATTTTAATTAATATATTATAACGTTTAAGTGTAAAAACATCTCAACAAATAACGATAAATGAAATTTATATTTAATAGTTACACTTACCCATACTTGTAAGTTCATTTATCGCATAAAGATATTTATGGTCAGGACTTTATATTGTAGTTCTATTCTGAAACCCGTTGGTATAATCAGCTTCCAATAATTGTTATTATTATTCAATAAAATGGGTTGAACATATGTGTAATATTGTGGATTGAGATCGCTTAATCTTAATTTTTTCCAAAAAATGACCTCTATAATCAATATGCTATGTCTTTCTTGTCGCACTTTTTGATTAATATTTGGCTTCATAAATTAAACGCTTGCATCCATACTGAATTCGAATAATACATTACTAAAAGCGTGTATTGGCTTAGTCGCGGCAAATTTTTCAGACAGCTTTAATTTACTATTAACAGACAATGGAACCTTTTTTTATTAAAATCTCTCCATTTTTATATTATTTATAACTAAACCCAGAGAGAAAGAAGCATAGACATATGGAATTTGGCAACCCTGCACGTGGTAATTCACGTGAAACTTGGCTCGGATATAACGATTCAAAGATGCTGCTTCGGTATTCTTCAGCTGTTCAAATGGCTGAGGAAAAAAGTTTTAGCATTGAATATGTAGTCTTAGCATTTCTCCTCGATGCTTTGCTACCTGAAAGTCTATCAACTGCTTGATAAAGGAACGATATGTAATATTGATTTCCCTTCTCGAGCGTAAGTTCTCAACTCCTCACTCTACGCTATGAATAATTATCTGAGACGTGAAGACTTGATAACTCCAGTCTCTAATGTCGATTGCTGCCAATGTTGGGTGAAGAGATTTTGCGGTGGTATGAAGGGCGTAGTGCCGAAAGATTGGAGCACTTGCTATATTATGTGAACATATGACGTCACATTATTTCCGTTTTTTTCTTAGGAACAAATGCTACCATTAATTACTAACGCGATGGGAATTAACACAGCTGGGAAATCTGGCCGATGGATGCTTTTACTTCCGCACTGGTTCTGAGAGCTGCTGCTTCTTGCTCTTCATCAGCTAAGTCTTTTTGCAAGCGGGCTAACTTTTGGTTTTTATTCGGATTTTAGCGTATTCTTCAAGGGTCTCTTAGTTTGAGAGCTTTTCCATGCTTCCTACAAACAGATTTTTATTTATTGGTCTTACGCGTTTTCTTTTTATTTCGAATTCTAATAGTAAAGCAAGATGAAAAAAAAGTAAGTTAGTGGTGATAAATTCAATTGAGACGCATGCACCAAGTGAGAATAATGAGGTGGTGGGCAGGCTGCAACGAAGCAATGCACAACGTTAATAGAAAGGCATTATTTAAAGCTATACTAACAAGGAGGGTGCGGTGTATGAAGGCACGTACAATGCTAAGCTAATATTGGCTTTGTGGTATTTAGAAAATAGTAGTCAGAACGTATTGCTTACCAGGCTCTAAAAGGCTTCTAAGGTAATTAATTTTCTGCTGTCCGACCGGCAATTAGCAAGGATTTGATTTGCAGAAGCTTGTTGTTTTTCGTTTTTGGTAAAGTACACAGAAAATAAAACCTTTTCACTCTCAGTCAGATTAAGAATGAAAATTTCCTTGAGCACATTCATATTATTGGTTGACATGGTGTTTGTTGACCTTGGAAAAGTTTGTAAGACTATTAAAATGCTGGTCCTTAATTATGCACTGCGCTAGACAAGCTTGCAGAGAGATATCGTTCAGCAAAATTAAAATTTATTCCTCGGCTTACTTCCTATCTCTACGACCTTAATCATAATTTAGACCCAACAATTACCTAATACCATCATCTGTGAAGAAAGGAGAATTTGAATCCTCACGTTATTTCTGCACGAAAAAAGAAGGCAACAGCTAAAAAAAAGTCTTAATTTAAGCATGCATATTAGCCAAATTGGGGGGGTGGTTTATTTTTATTTTTATTTTCATTTTTAATTTAATTTAATTTATTTTATTTTATTTTATTAGCTTAGCATTATGTAACATAACTTTTTTTTTAATGCAAATGGTAAAGTGTATGTATGAAGGAAGTAGAGTATAAATTATATAATAAACCGAGTTTATTAACCTGTCGCTTCACTGACAGTATAACTGCATGTGTGTAGTGTGTACCCGTCAATAATGCGAAAATAACGACAAAAATAAACTATTAAACACTATAATCATTTCTCCTATATTATATAAAACATATAATGTAACATCCCTGGATATTAATATACAATGTTCCGGCCTGTCATTAGAATTTTAAGGCTTGTAGTCCTAGAGCAAGCAACATAAAGTTGGCCATGAGAAAATACTGAGTCGGCAAATAAACTCCTACGTAATTTAAAGTGACACTAATCCGCCCAAAACAGATAAAAATTTTTTTTCGTTTTCTTTTCCTGCATTAGCTAATTCTATAGTAGAAATGTGCGGGTCGTTGCTAACAAGATCCTCGACCCTGGCAATTTTTTCTGACGTCACTGCTTCGCGAGGACGTCCAGAACGAGCCTTGTCTTTAATTTCTTCTTCCCCGTCTTTGAATGTAACAATCCAGCGTCTAATTGTGCTAATAGACAATGCTTGTTCCCCTTTTACATTCACCAACTCTTCGTGGATTTGAGTCACATTTCTGCCATTTTTCCAAGAAGCGAAAATAAAGTACCGTTGGTCCTTACGGCTCATTTTTTTCCAGTCGTTTTACTATGGTTTACAAAAAAAAGGTTTCTCGACAATGAGATAATAATTTGCCTCTACTTTTTTTTTCATTTGTTACATGAAAGCATGCGCATTTTATGATTATTCCAATTTTTAGTTAAATTGACGCAATCTCGAGTTAGAGAGCCACACGCAAAACTTTTCAGCCCCCCCACGTACTATTGTTCATCCATCACAATGTATTTAACTAATCGTTATTAATAGAAGATAATATTATTTAAATAATGAAATATTGATAATGAAAATTATAAAAGCGAAAAGAAAAAAAAAGAAAGAATTGAAAAATCTTTATTGTATGTAATAGTCAAATAAATCGACTTGTTGTAATTAAGAAATATAATAAACTGGAAATAACAAGCCATATTCTTCTGATAAAGACGTCTGGCTGCATTTGTAGAGGAAATCGTTAGTTTCAGTGAAAAGAAAGGATATCGATAAGAATAAGATTAGATTATATTCGACTTTGTTTATAAAAATACATTAGATATCATAAATGTTGTAATGATGCAGGCGCGAGATTGACTTTAAAAATGGATTGGGATTATCGTTAGCGTTATGCTGGATGTTTCAAATACTACATACATACTGTTAAAACATTTAGCGAAAAGAGACGATGATCACGGAAGCCATACCATCCAAGGTATTAATTTATACTATTACCAAAGGCAGCTGAACAAGGGCTTGCTATATAGCAAATCTTGGTTAGTGTGTTACAAAAACCAAAGAAAGCCTTTCAAACGCGTATATGTTATGCAATATGAATTAGTTGTTTGGTGTAAACACTTGCGGTTGTCAAAAAATTTAAAAAATTTTCAGTTCAATCCTAGCTTTTTGCTGTTAGATTCGACTACATGACTCGAGATCATTAGTGGCGTCTCAATAGTCCAGCCTTAAATCCCATAAACAATTTATGAAAAAGTATGTGAGAAGTTAGTGCGGTTTATGGTCGGAGAATGGATAAAATTTCTGCTCGTATGCTATTAAATATCGCATGAAAGAGTATAGCATGTTCACTAAAAACAAGGACATCAATCATGGAGCATGTAATGAAGTGGGTAACGAGAAGGACCCTTGTAACAAAGTAAGGTTCTTATGGACAATGATGCCAGCAACAAACAGAGCGCAAATATATTAATTTTGCAGATTTATAATATTATCATCTACACTGTGCTAATGTTATTAATTGCTAACTTGAATAACGTAAACGTCTCAAGTCAAATTACGGTTGATGTCTCCACTTTTTGAAAAATCTTGCTACTTCACCAACACATTTACCAAAAGATTCACTCGCAACGATCCCATCTCCAATCCACCTGGGTAGCTTCCTTTTTATGCGGTTTTCTGTAAAACGCCTATCCAGAAGTATTATTGTCGCGTAGTCATTTCTGTGCCTTATTGCGCGACCTATCAACAGCAATGCTTAGCGTCACTGTTTATCGAATAAATTCAACACATTTAATGTTTTCGTAAAGTTCTTGCCTATCGACTGGTTGACAGCTCTCATACACAAATTTTCATAATATCCCATTCCTGCTCCATTAGATTTCTGGTCCATGTATTTCATCTTCTCCATAAGACTGACAGATTTCATATTGGCGAATGGAAGCCCAACCATTACGATAGCTCTGATTTGAAGTAAAGTAGGTTGATATTGGTAAGAAAAGACGTTTAAATGGTGATACCGGAAACTTCCCACATCCACGCAAATCACCTTCCTAGCTGATCAGAGAAATTTATTCCTTCTGACATTTTCCCGCCTACGACGCTGAGAAGGAGTGCCCCCGCGGAAGGTGTATTATTCTAGTGTCAGCAAGCAGTAACAACTTTGATAAATTTATTAACACTACAGGCGAGTATTGACAACGCTCATAAGAAATCTTACCGCAGAAGATTCTATATGCAATGCATATTCTCGTAACACTTGTTCCACGAGCTCTGATTGCCTTGGTTCTTGGAAAACCTTATTACACTCCTTAATAAATATTGCAATCCATGGGTTCTACTAACCGATCTCCTTGTTATTTACCTTTTTACGTTTATTCAGGCGATCGAGTATCCCTTTTTGTTGCCATCGGCGATATACTTGATCCATGTAAGAATAGGAAGCAAAAAAGCATACAATTCCACCTGGTATAACATTGCAGAGATTAGCAAGGCTTTGGCCCAGCTCATCGATCTATGTAGAATAAAATAAAATATTATTGTTATTATACTTGCTGTGAAAAGATAAATTTTTGGATGCATCCAACAGAATAAAACGCTAACCAATTTTGTATCCGTGCGCTTTTCAAATGTTATTTCCAAAGACTCTCCTGACGGCCCTTTTTGTACAGCCATAGTCAAGAGGTTCTCGCTCGGGATAATGTGTCCACATGAAAACTTTTTTATACGAGATACATTCACGTATGGGAACAGCTGTTCGATGAAATCCGCCATCTTTTAACATCAAGGAAAATCGTTCAGAGTATTGTTCCTGCAACGCATGAAGTATAAAAATGTCGTCTTAATATGGTACTCTTACTGGTTCCATTGTTCCACCAGCCAAGATAACACTTCTAGCCTCATGCACAATGTCTTGGAATTGACCGGTAGGATTGAGTAGCAAGTATTTTAGATACGGCCGAAATTGCTGCTGTTGTATGGACGCGTTCGGAGTTGGACAGACGGTTGTTGTAAACCCGATTATTATACGGCCGTCCTTGTCGTCATTAGTCAGTGACATTAAAAATGATTGAACTTGGTTCAGTGAGGGTAAAGATGTCTTGTACTGATCGACTTCCCCTGAACAATAATTAAAACAACTCGGTGAATCAACGGCATTCACTGTAAAACGTTGGTACCATTGACACTTACCACTCTCGTCTCGATTAATCTTCACTTCCATCGATTCCAGCTTGTCGACAAAGCCGTTCAACTGTATTTCGAATGCGACAATGAACTCAATCAAATTTATACGCGTATACTCTGCTCTTCTCTCTTATCGCTTACCTTTCGTGCAATGCCGCTCGTTCGAAGATATTTTTCCACTTTATACAGATTTATATTATCAATTCCAAGCGCGTGTACAAATTCATTTACATTTTTTATCTCTTCCCGACTAGCCTTATCTTTTTTATCCTTCCATTTTGCAGAAAACTCTTCTAACGATCTTTCTAATGCTTCTAATAGGTCAATTAAATGTCGGATATACATTACGTTCTGGCCCTTTAACATTTTCTTATATCGGTTAAGATATTTTGTAAGCTGTGCTTTCGATCGTTGGATATGAATCATGTCAATCACGACTGTGTGAATTGCAGTGATGGTATCTATGAGGTTGTGCGCTTCATCGATGACGACGATGTTGTCCTTGAGAGATATTCCAAGCGATTCCCGTGACGCCTTTTGCAGAAGGAGCGTATATGGTAGCGTTACTAGCTAATAGAAAAACATTAGCATTAGCATTAGCATTAGCATATCTTCTAAAAGAAATAAAAAAAAGTGTATCTACCTGAGCTTGTCGAATACTCTTCCTTGTGCCATAATACGGACACGTGCCGAGCCTTTTACCGATAGTTACGAGATCTTCAATGTCACGTACAACTGCCTTATAGATGTATGATAAGTATTCGGCAGTTAATTGATGAAAATGGTATCCATCGTACATAACATTACGAATATCTTTAACATACTATCACATGATCCCGGAAATCCAACATGCGCGCCTTTTCAGAAGAAAGATGTTTGCATCTTTTTTCTGGTCGATTGCCTAACGTTTTAGCCATTGTCAGTATCAAAATTTCACCTCTCAGAAAAAAAGCTTTAAACTTTATCTATCATACCGGATTTCTGCATCTCCAGACAACGATCATTCATCTTTGCTAGACTGTTAAGTTTTTTAACATCCTCGTTTATACAAAGCGTCTTCCTGGAGCCAAGAGATACAGACTTTATGTCTTCGGCGTAACCGGTCTTGCGTAACTCATTTATAAATTGAGCTAATTGCGAATGCGTTCGTGAGGCATAGTAGATCTGTAATTTCACAAACAGATCAGTTATTTTTAACGGGCAATATGGTAATAAAATATTGTAATCAAATATACTTGCCTTGATTTCGTCAGGCTCCTCATCCTCCTCTTCAGCCTGCGACTTGTTATAGTCATCAAAATCTTCTAGGCATTTCCCTTCTCGAAATCTTTGTACAAAGACAATTCACAATATTAATTAAGCAGCAATTATGAGCAATCAATTGCATTAGCTATTCACTTTTGGAGGAGTGCCTTAATGTTGTCTGATATTCCATTTCCGTCGTCAGAGTGAGCTTCGTCCTCACTGCGATATGAATCGACCATAAACTCAGTCAAGTCATCATCAATTCCGTTACTGTCTTTGTGGCTATCGTGTTTGACTTTCTGTCAATTTACAAGTTTTAGAGCATTCTAATAAAATATGGAATGTTGTGACAATAACAGGCAACATTCTAACCGCATACCATTTTCTTGCTGAACCTACTTCTGTAAGAATTATTTTGTCGTTGAGCAGCTTCACGCTCTCTAATACGCCTGAGCCTTTCAGCTTGTTCGTGTTTCTTCATTATTGCTTTCTTCTGCTCTTGTTGAAATCTGTACTGTGCCACCCACACTGGTTCTACGTCGAAATGGAAGAGTTGATTATTTAGGGATGGATTTTATGGACATAGAACTTATATATCAGAGAACAATTTCGGACCATCATCGTTTACAGATATTTGGGTTTCGACAATATTCTCGTGCCTTGACGCATTGTCTTCAATCCATTTTAATGCTCCACAAATCAAACTTAATGATTTGCCCTGTGTCATTTAAGGCCATAATAGATTGTTATAAGGTTGATTTTCCGTAATGACTTTTATTAGCTAAATGCCCACGATAATAACTCACCGTGCCAGTAGGACTTTCTAATATAGCGATATTCCTGTGCTCTATGGCCTCGTATAAATTGCGCATAAATTCATATTGTATGTCATATGGAACGAAAGGAAATTTGAAGTAATCTGCGTCCGCAGGAGTTGGAAGATATGATGATATTTCCTCTTGTTTTGCTTCCATAGTAATAGTAAAACCAAATTGTAGAAATATTTTTGTTGGATGTTGCCTCAAGTGCAGGCGCGCGTGTCCAATTGTGTCACGGTATTCGTGTAACGTATACGCGTCTTGTTTATATGCACTTTTCTCTTCTACACATATTTTGCATACTTACAAAACAGAAGATGCCACGTACCGATAGCAGCCGTATGAACAAGTATCGTTCAGTATATTCTAAAGAGAAGCAGAGAGAATTAGACCCCGGAATCTTATCTGAAGCTGTAGTGAAGTGGTTAAAGGAAGAACTCGGACATCGTCCTGGGCGAACTTCTCTGGTGACTGAAGACGTATCAGAAAACGAATTAACAAAGGAGGTCATTCAAAAGTACGAAATTGAATAATTATTAAAGAGGAGCCTTCGATTTTATTGACTCTGTGAAATTCTCTAATCATTACTTTATTTCAAGAGTCTGTAAAAAAGAATTTATTCCAATATTTCGATTTCTCGTCGATAACGTCAAATCCTCAAAGTAAGTCTGATGTATAATTATTCTCAAAGTCACTACACATTCGGCATACTAACGTTATGTTTAACGATAGAGAAGTGGCAAGAATTCGACAGCAACAAGTAGCGTAAGTACTATTTATACGCATATATATACTTTTAATATTTATAAGTAAACCACTTACCGTTTACTAAGAAATTTATTTGTCCGTCATAGTGGTGCCTCTGTTAAGAATTCATCAGTACGTGGACCAAAGTTAGAAAAGAAATCAAAGAAGATAAATGCTCGTATTGTTGTTGAGGAGAAGCAAACAGAAACACTGATTGCTAAAATTGATGAAGTTGGTGAGTCATAGTTGACATGTTGAATATGCTCAGGGTTGATTATTGACACCGAATATCATTTAGAGTCAGAGATAAGAAAACTTAGATTTGAGATAGACGATAAACGAAATAAGCTGTATATGAAACGCGCGTATCATGCGGTATGCGAGGACATTATTGAGACTACGAAAAAACATGAGAAGATAGTGAATGAATCAAAGGGCAACACTGCTGTTTCTGAAGACATCAAGTATGTATGCTGTTGTCGCGTTTGGTAAATGTTCAATGCTTAAACATTTACATTGTTTTCCGTATAGATTAAAACTGGGAACCGAGACATCAACAATGGTAGTGTCTGTTAATCGATAAGTTTGCTTATTTCACCAACAGACTTCTGACAGATTTTACAGCTAGAAGTGAAGGAGATTTGTGAAAAGATAAAGTTGTTCGTGCACAATATGATATCCAAGTATGGAAAACCCTTGATTGTAAAATATTTATTTAGGTATTCGCTCAAGTGTCTTACCTATTCTTAATAGTGATGGATATAATAATGAGAAGATTATTGCCAATATACGTATGCCAGTTGACGTATGTAGTTATAGAATCAATATGTTAATCGCTATGAGGAACTACAGAATTTTACTAACTGTTTTGTATATTGATAGGATTTGGTGAAAAGAATCCCATCAACAGTGATATTGAAATCAATATCCAACGTAATGAAATCAACTACGCATGATTTGAAGTATTCTATTGTTTTATTATTGCTGTCGGTTGCATTTTAAGAAATATGAAATATAAATGACGGTCGCAATACGTTTTATCTAACGTAGAATACAATCAGACGAATACGTGCAAAGATTCAAAGAGACAGGAAATGAGGATGCACATGAGATTCAACGCCTTCTACATGTAAGACAATAAGCGTCTTTTGTCTTTGTTGGTTCATGTATTCATCACTCATGTCATCCTACTCATATATGCACCATTAGCAATCGCAATTGAATCATGTCGATAGATTCGTTGAGACAGAGAAGATTCTTAATGAAATGTCTGGAATCGAGGACAAGATAGAAATGAAGTTGAGGAAAATAGGAAATCTTGTTCAAAGTGGCTACTCTCATGCTCCCTCTCTATCGAACCAAATAATGTCAGTTTTACAATATATTTGATTGTAGACGTATGCGAGAATATGTATTGATATGACTTCTATTACTTTTTTAGGTTAGCTATAAAGTCAAAGGCTGAAACTGAAGCAGCACAGGCATCATTCAATAAATTACAAAATCATGCAGAACTGCTAAAGAGTCAATGTGCTGCCATTGGGCCTAGGAATGATGAGCTGAATGGATTAATTGATCTAGTCACGGCATTAGATCGTACTTTGGTAAACAAGAAAAAGTGAATTTATTTTTATGAAAGAAATACTGTCATTAATTTGCACATATATGTAAACCAATTTATTAACTTGAAGTATTAACTTTTTATCAACAGAAAGAGAAGAAAACTGCAATACAGAGTTTGATCAAGTTCAACTCTTCAATCAGAAGTAATCTCGTGGTTAAAATTAATGAGGTAACTGTTAATTTCTCGTGCTCGCTTTATTCATTTTCAAGACGCTAATCATATCCGATTTTATCCATAGACAATCAACTTTGTAGAAGATACCCTTATACCGTTCTCATCGACCATTGAACCTTTGAGTAAAGATATTGACGAACGCATTATTCGTGAGAGTGAAAGGTTTCTTAATACAACGTTGTCTAAAGCGAATCAAGTTAATATTCGTGGGTACGAGCTCATAGTTTTAACATATTGTAGTATAATGCTGAGTTTATTGGTTGCAATGACTTCACTTACGTGTTTGTTTGAGTTTAGTATGTCTCGATGCTTAGATACGTTGGGGGTTTATCGCACACATGATGACGAATTCATACAGTATATAAAGAGAGCATTACGAATTCCCTCTCAAACGGTATTGGAGCGCATGTTCATGATTACAGGAGTAACCTTGATATCATAATAATCCAATGAAACTGTTTATATTCTGTAGGCCATTGAAGAGATTTTTCCTGCAATTGACAGAATTAAGAGAGAAGGTACATATTTTATTGGTGTTGCTGTTAAGTACTCAATGGTGATTAACAATTATCAACTAATAGGACTAGCGTATGAACTAGCATTCATGCATTTGAAATATAGCATGAAAGCTTGTCATTTTGATTTTCAGTCAATGGGTAAGCATGCATAAACTTATTTGCCGTCTGATACATTTGTTGACTGATACCATTTACTATCATCTACAGTAAATCAGATGCTATTCTCAGTGCGTGCAAATAATATAAGTTCAGATATGGATGAGACATATTCAAAGACTATAGATGCATCCAGAAGTGCTGTAGACATTCTTAAGAGTAAGTTTTATATCAATGTAATGACTACAGCAGCCTATTGTTATAACATAATTCTATACATTGCAGAGCGTTTACGACGACAAGAGCAAGAGTTTTTGTCCAATGAAGTGGAAAAATTGAAACAGGAAATAAGCAAGGCTGAGAATGCAGAGGATATTATTAACGATATTCAAGAGATTATCGCTGAGAAGTAAGTGTAATGTGAACTGTAAATTATTGAGCTATTACTGTTGCCTGTGTTATTGGCTTACTCCTGGACACTTTAATCATATAGTAAGATGATATATGTAATAAGAACCTTTAATTCATGTAATACAAATGAAAGACAGTGCTTATAAAGCCATTATTGATGATTGTTTCATTTTCAATGATGAATGTGTCCATATTAATATGCTACATTACAACGTTGGGGTGGTGTTTCTTGGCACCAGGTATTTGGATCCTTTCGAAAAACTTCATCGATAATTTTTGCATACGTGAGCAACATTCCTTTTGCGTAATCTGTCTCTCTGAACAGAATCGCTTTTCACTTTCGTTTTCATTTACGATATTTTGTATCGATTCTAATAAATCGAACTGAAATACCATTCTAACTGTAGCGCGAACGCTACGTCTAGCAGTATCAAAAATATTCCATACGCAAAAGTTTTTTCGACAAATCAATATTATCTACAACGCAAACGTTCCATAGTTTCTTTTTTTATTATTTTATTCTCCGGTTTCGTGTCTCTAACTCTCTGCCGTTCTAACGCCTTTTCTGATATGAGCGGTCTAAAGTATCGCAAACCAATTTGGGCTTGGTACACAAACTCCCCAATACGCGTGTCAGCCATATGCTGAAGCGATGTTTAAAAGCATCGACAATAGAAATATAGCGATTTTTTTTCATTATCTGGAAGCTCCTTTAATCCTCCGCTCGTTCGCCGTAGATTATTTATGTGGTTTCTTTTTCTTAAAACAACAGCAATGAGTAATATAAAAAATCTTAACAAAGCCGGTGGGAAACTTCAACTATCGACGACGGTGACTCGAGCCATTCATTTCCATAATTCGCTACCTAAATTCTCGCCAATCACTGATTATGATGCAACTTCCGGTGTAAATCTATTTTCCTCAAGTTCGTTGGCGTCTAGGGAATTCAGTTTTTAATAGAATGTGGCTTATTAATAGGGTAGTGTATTCCTTTTCTCCACTAAATGTCACTAGCGAGGATGAAAGCTTTTTTTTTATTTTTATATTATTTGACTTGGTAGTGTTCATTATACATTGCCTGAAAATCTGAAGCGTATCAGAGACATCATCGCTATGTTGTCCTCGCGAATATCATCGTGGACGAGATTTAGCTATCGGCCCAACGCTTATCATTAACACTATATGCCTGATATGTTGATGCTATAGGATCAATATCTCCATTATGACAGCGCTATTCCAATCCCGTGACTGTAATATTGCATTTCCCCGTCTACAAAAAATATTCATTTATTATTATACACAGAACGCAAAGCCATGGTGATGGCTGGATGACAGTGCTGTCACATGAAAAACTGTACCCAGAGCCAAGACGTTATACAAGTGTCCATCATTTTAAAACAATGGCTGCAAATAAACCGCATCATTATCGAAAAATGATTTGGGCATTCCTTCCATCTTAAACACCGGACACACTTTAAAGAACTTATTGGTAACACGGATGGCATGTTCGACACAATTGTGACCCATACTGAGGAATGATTTGTATTTCTTACTCGTGTTATGAAGTTTTTTAGCATCGTGGGCAAAATGAGGTGAACATACACCGAGGATCGTTCCTTCCATACGAGATTTTTGAAACATTGCTTTATCTATTTCCCAGGTACCTAGCAATTGTGATAAAGGTCGCTGGTTTTTCATGATGTTGCCGCATGTTCTAATCTCACCATTTACTATATCTATATGCCTTCCATTCCACACCAGCGTGCTTGATGTTCGTGCTGTAGAAATGAGTCGTGTTGGTTTCTTTATCGTATGTTCAGAGATTTGAAGAGATGAGTTCGATCTAAAACGCGTAGGTTTATTGTTTAAGGCAAGTTATACATGTTTGAAACATCCGTAATTTCTTTCACTAAAATCAAACTCACTTTATAATCACCGCATCGCATGGCTGCAGGTGTGCAGTAGTGGAAAGACACAGTCACTGGATACAATATCTACCCACGATCGAGCGAACTCCACCTTAGAGCAGGTAAACAGATTCTGATAAAAGTGACCATGTGACCGGAACCGGTCCTGGTTCCGCTTTGACACCTTTAGCGTTCAATCGTAGGTATAAACAAATAAAGAGTGCAAAATTCCTGGTTCCGCTTTGGCAATTGACCGCTTAACGCGTCCTTTACCAAAGCTCGGTCGGCAACCTGGCAAGAGCACTTTTACCGCTTAACGCGTCCTTTGCCAAAGCTCGGTCAGCGACCTCACCTTTATTTTTAGCGTTCAATCAATCGTAGGTGCTACTAATAAAGGAACGCAAAACTCCAAAGTTCGGTCAGCTTCCAATGAATCCTATATCATACTATTTGACGGTTCTAAAGATTATATTTGGTATAACCAGTATAGGACCGATTCGGGTAAGCGAAGTTTCATCGGTTTGACGCTAATTTGCTATATGATAATACGTTGTAGTGAATTTTAATCGATAAGCAATAGGAGCTACAAAGATCCACCTTCACTTTTGAGTTTGAAAACACCATTTTCATATACATTCTGTATGCATACATACTCTACGTGTAATAAGGTGGCTTAAAGAAATAAATATAGGACGTGCTAATAATAGCAAAACTTAATCTTAGTTTTACGAAAGCTTTTGCGACCACAATTTGATTTTCGGTATGCATTTCGTTGATCCAATCAAATCCTAATCAGATCATTACCGCGTCAATGTGATCGCGAGAAATTTCGGTATAAAATGCCGCGTACGCGATTCATTCTTAAGATAATAAAGAACGCAACAACACCGCACAACACGCACATTCAACAATGTTTGTTCGCAAGAGAGGTGATTAAAAAAGCTTTACACTATTATAAAGTCATTTACCTTTATAATAGAGGGCAGGAATAGTCTTCACGGACAATTGACCTATGTTCTCGTTGTCTCGTAGACGGCCGAAAAGAACGCGTTTTCTTCGACAAGATAACGTCAAGAATATCAAAGTTATGTTATGGTTTGAATATGGAATTTGTTGATCCGCCCAAAATTTCTCAAAAGGTACCGCTGAATAAAACAGATGCCAAGCGCATTTCAGAAAGAAAGAAATTCTAAATCTTAATTACCAATGTGCACTAACATAACTTCTGGACAACCAGGTTGTGAGCGGGATGTTTCAGGGAATCTCTACTGTTGAGTTGGACAATCTTGCAGCAGAGACGGCTGCTTACTTGACATGTAACCATCCGGATTATGCTATACTGGCTGCTAGAATAGCAATCTCTAATTTACACAAGGAGACAAAAAAACAAGTGCGCAGATCAAAGCATTTATTTCTTGTTAATGAACCTCTTGATGGAGCACCAATATGTTGATATCTTTATCCTATATGTACTTTAGTTTAGCGCAGTAATTCGGGACCTCTACAACCACACCCACCCTGCTCGCAAAATACGCGCTCCTTTAATATCGCAAGAGACCTACGACATTGTTATGGAGAATGCCGAGCGCCTTAATTCCGCAATAATATACGACAGAGATTATAGCTACAATTATTTTGGATTTAAAACACTAGAAAAGAGCTATCTAATGCGAATTGATGGTAATTAATTCACTATCACAATTGTTATTTTATGTGGTTTCTTTTACTGATTCTTTTTTATTTATAATTAATTAGGGAAGGTTATCGAAAGACCGCAACATATGCTTATGCGCGTAGCAATCGGTATTCATGGGCGCAATATTGAGGCTGCTATCGAAACGTATAATCTCATGTCAGAAAAATACTTTACACATGCAAGTCCTACTCTTTTTAACGCTGGAACACTGCGTCCCCAGATGTCAAGTTGTTTCTTGGTGCAAATAAAGGAAGACAGGTAATGTCGAATACTGTTATGTAAAAATTGGTTTGATTTTTATTATAATAACACATCAAACCGTTTCTCATCTAGTATTGAAGGAATTTACGATACTTTGGCAACATGTGCCTTAATCTCAAAAGCTGCTGGTGGCGTAGGCATCAGTGTTACGAAGATTCGCGCATCCGGCTCATATATAGCAGGAACTGGAGGTTATTCGAATGGACTTGTTCCCATGCTTAGAGTATTCAATGATACCGCGCGCTTTGTCAATCAGGGTGGTGGGAAACGGAACGGAAGCTTTGCGATGTGAGTACGCATCTGTGTATTATATGTATAATATCATACGCACACTGACCCTTATTTGTAAAAGTTATATCGAGCCGTGGCATGCGGATATATTCGAATTCCTTGACTTGAGGAAAAACGTTGGCAAGGAAGAAATTCGAGCGCGAGATTTGTTTCTGGGTTTATGGGTGCCCGATCTCTTTATGAGGCGTAAGTCTTTATAATGATTCAGAATTGCATTATACAAGAATCTAATAAAGAGGTTAACAATGAATTATAGGGGTTGAGAATAAAGAAGACTGGTCATTATTCTGTCCTGCCGAATGTACTGGTCTAGACGCAGTATACGGAGAGGCATTTGAGGAATTATACACTAAATACGAGAGAGAAGGCAGAGCACGTAAAACCATATCAGCTTTGAAGTTATGGTATGCTATTGTTGATGCCCAAATCGAAACTGGAATGCCATATATGTTATATAAAGGTATGAAATACTGTAAATTGTCTGATATGAAATGTACCATCGGTGACGGTTCTAAGATTTTATTTCGCTTCTCTTGACATAGATACTTGTAATTCTAAATCCAATCAGAAGAATCTTGGAACTATTACCTGCTCTAATTTATGTACCGAAATTATTGAATATACTGCACCAGATGAAGTAGCAGTGTGCAACCTGGCATCTATTAGTCTGCCAAAATTTGTTGATACAAAAGCGAAAACATTTGATTTCAATAAGTTGCATGAGATAGCCAAAGCTGTAATTAAGAATCTAAACAAGATAATTGACCAGAACTATTACCCGGTTCCGGAAGCGGAAAAGAGCAATAAGAGACATCGACCGTAAGTATGAAGCAATTCTATTTGTCTTGCTATGCGTTTACTGAATATATCTGTGTAAATCCCAACAGAGTCGGACTTGGAATTCAAGGTGCGCATCAACAATTACACTCTTAGATATTATTGATGTATGTGATGTCTAATTCGTTTCATTTGTAAGGTCTCGCTGATGCTCTAATACTTCTGCGATATCCGTGGGAATCCGAGGAAGCACGTCAGCTAAATTATGACATATTTGAGACCATGTATCATGCTGCTCTTGAATCCTCCTGTGAAATTGCAGCTATAGAAGGACCTTATTCCACGTATGAAGGTTCGCCTATAAGTCAAGGGATTCTTCATTATGAAATGTATGAGATCCTACCTTCCGACCGATGGAACTGGGCAGAGCTCAAAGAGAAGATTAAGAAACATGGTGTACGGAATTCCCTGTTGATTGCTCCAATGCCTACAGCCTCCACCAGTCAGATTATGGGCAATAACGAGTGTTTTGAACCATATACAAGCAATATATATCAAAGACGTGTTTTGAGTGGAGAATTCCAAGTTGTCGTAAGTGATCGAAGCAATACTTGAATAGAATGTGAATAACGATTAATGTTTAATTTTATAAATTCATTAACACTGTTGCATACCGCTTATACAGAATTACCATTTGTTAAAAGATCTAACCGAAATGGGCGTATGGAATGAGAAAATGAAGAATGAGATAATTGCTGCGAATGGATCGATACAAGACATTGCCGAATTGGATGATAATCTGAAAAAATTATATAAAACAATCTGGGAGATTCCACAGAAAGTATTAATTAATCTTGCAGCTGATAGGGCCCCATTCATCGACCAGTCACAGTCGCTAAACGTGTTTCTTGCTGAACCTACGATAGCGAAAATTTCATCAATGCATTTGTAAGTTAAATGTTATTTGTTATTAAGACTAGACGGCTTGCTAATTGGAATCGTATTAAACTCAGCCACGCGTGGAGAAAAGGCCTTAAGACGGGGATGTATTATCTACGTTCAAGACCAGCTGTCGATGCCATTAAATTTACAGTAGATCAAGTGTCATTGGCTAAGAGTAAAATCAATGGCAATTCGACAAAAGAGGACAAGCCTCTAGACGAAGATAGCGAGAAGCAACAAATGGCACTCATGTGCTCGGTAAGATATTTAGCAACTTTGTTTCTAATTGATGATTTATTGATTGAACAAGTTTATGTAATTCTTTATACTCTCGTTTACAGCTAGAAAATCGGGACGCGTGCGTTATGTGTAGCGGATAACTATTGAAAAGTTTAGTTTGCCGATTGTTAGACCCTATTCAGTAAAAATAATGAGTGGTAGTGGACTTATGAATTAAAAATTACTTTTAATTATCAATCCATAGTTGCTATTACTGTGAATTTTGAAAATAGCAAAAAAGCGGAACCGTTAGAATATTCAGGACTACGAAAGTTTTCAAGCGAGAAACTACTTATCAAGAAAAGAATTATCGTTTTTCAAAAATGGAACTAACAATCACCTCTGAATTAGGCTAATTATGACAATCATCGCTTTTATCTCCCAAAAGGAAATTTCACCTTATCAGGCTTCCTTACCTCTTGACAGTCCCTTAATCCGAAAGATTATTGGAATGTCCTGTTCTATATTATTGATGTTTTCTGTCGTTGATGTTTATGAATCTCTTGAATTTGATTTGTTAAATTTGAGAGTCCGATTCTTTAATGTCCCTTGATACCCGCATCTCAACATCAAAAACGCGTAATCATACGCCAACACGTCATCCATAGAATATTATTATCTATGTTACACACATGAAATGTATAAACGACATGTTAATATGTATAACATCGATCGACCATTTTAGGCTTTAAAACGATAACATACATTACTTCTTTTCGAAAATACAATCAATTGGCTTCAAAATTTATTGTTCGAAAAACGGACCTTGCAAAGGTTTACCAATACTTTTGTGCAATCTTGTGAAAGTGCACAAGCGATCAGTAATTTACAACTTATATCTAATAGAAGAATTCTATTTAGAAACCTCAATCCGTTGTTGAGACGTATTATACATGATCCTCATAAATAATTGGATGGATTGTTGGTCGGTAAACCACTTAATTATTGTCACGTAATTCCCATGTTAGTTGGTCATATGCTCTAGTCTCGTGCGATATTAATCAGAATACGTGTATTTCCGGCAACAGTACATAATAATAATGCAATCGACATTGGGAAGATCCTATTCGCCGATCTCAATACTTCTTGGTATGAGATTTTCTGTGAGATTTCCTAATGAGGCGCTCATTCTCACATTACAATGGGAAAGCCTGTAAAGAAACATTGAAAAGATTGTATTGACAGTCTTGGGAATCGTGTTTGCAACAGATACTTGAATATCAAAATGGTTTCATGCCTAGTCAAGGGTAAAATAATGATCGCGGAATCTCTGAATCGAGCGACAAGAAAGGCAGGTATGTTATATGCACAAGCAGTTAAAGAGTAAACAGAAATGCATTGCATTTAAATTCAGCACCAACCATTAAAATAATAATACTGTGGCATCCTGAAACGTGAACCCCTGAATTTCAATCATAGATAGATAAAAAAGAAAAAGAAATAGTAATGCTTTTACGTGTAATAAGGAATTATCTTGCACAACAAAATGTCGAGTAAATGTTAATAGAGGAAAACCCTTTGGTATCTTGGACAATTCAGCATTAAATATTGTATATAAAAGTAATGTCTTGTTCGCTGTAACCCGTTCTACGATACCTTTCATTTCGGCAAATAAGCAGCTGCAACTCGGAGGACTTGATCCCACGCCTTGTAACACCAAATGCCTGATAATGACTCACAGGTAATATGAAAATAGGATTGGTGAACGTGCCTTGAAGCTAATCTTTGTTGACACAAACAAAGAACACGGATTAATATAGAAAGATCCAATATACAGCATAGTACTCTTTTCCGACTCCCGGGTTTTTGATTCTGCTCAGGCCGACCCTTAATTAATTAAGGCAGTGAGACAGGTATGCAGATCACGAGATAGTTCCTTGATAAGACTATTGTATTTGATTGGTCTTCTAACGCTTCTCTCTAGATCTACGTGATGATTTCCTGATGTTGCTAATCTATGTATTTTGAATATAAGCGAGGCGGGATGGAGGAGCAGTCTAGTAGTATAGTATTGGATACGATTGCAATCATTAGTAATTAGAACATAAGAAATACAAGTTAGTAACAGAATACATACGGAACATGGCGAAAGATTGGAGAAATTATGGGGCAGTTCCTATAGGTATTGACTTGTTACCTAGCTCGAATATACGCCCTCACATTTACCATCGTGGAAACCCATCAAATTATCATTTCCAGACAAATAATTAATAAAACATTAAACGTCAAACCAGAGACACAAGCACAAATAGAAGATGGCCGGCCGTTGACCCAGCATGAAGAAAAGGGATCGAATGTGATAGCTTATATGCATATTGTGTAAGTTTTGATAATAGTTGAATAGGCCGAATGAATGCGTGATAAATCCGTGATGCTGGTTTAAAAGCTATTGAAATTGTTGTAAAGAATAGAACATCTTACAAGTTGTTTCCTACGACGCGTCTTTAATAGCTTTTTTTGTGTTTGACAAAAAATATTTTCATCTTACAGATGTGTTGTAGCTGGATCAGGAACGTTAGGAATGTCGTATGCTATTTCTCAAGGCGGATGGGTCTCTGTGAGTTTGTTGATATTGGCGGGAATAATGTCTACTTACTCAAACAACAAGTTGATAGAGAGTTTATATTATAACAGGTAAATAACATATAACTGGGTTAGTCAAGTTTTGGTGTGTGGTTATAAAGACGAGCAACCAGAAATATCACAAAGGGAGTTACTTGCACCAATCCTCAAATCTCACCTTTTTGTTATAATTCGCTTGGACCCTTTTGCAAGTCAATCTCGTCGAAGTTCCCTGAGCAATATTGCTCAAGATGCATTCGGTAAAGCCGGCACTTGTTTCGTCAGCTTCCTCTATGTCGTCATCCAAACCGGATGTCCGATTCTATACCTCATTCTATCCGGTGATAACCTCAAAACTCTGTTGTCAAAGATTGGAATAGACTTGAGTGTTAATCTGTTGATTTTGATTTGTGGAGTTACGATGTGTGTGCCGTTTGTGTTTACCAAGAACCTGAAGGAAGGGGCTTGGTTGAGGTCAGTGATCGATGGTGGAAGAGAAGGCGCGTTGTTAAAATGGAAAGGTTGGGGGTTATTAAAAGTCGTGAGAGATAAGCGAATGGGCGTTTAGATGAAGAGAGAAGGCAGTGTTTTTGCCATAATAGTGATTTTGAACAAGGAATGTTGGAACAGTACTTTGTTGATTGATTGAGTAGGCGATACGCTATCCATCAATCAACAATCGTATTTTGACTCAGGAATGTTGGAATAGTACTTTGTTGATTGATTGAGTAGGCGATACGCTGTCCATCAATCACAATCGTATTTTGACTCACTACTCACAATTCTTCGTTACAACCCCCCCCCCAACTTCTTACTCCAATATCTCACTTTTCCCCCCCCCCCCTCTTTTGCTTTTTTCCAGTTTCTTTGGCACTCTCTCAACAGCGTTTGTAGTCTTTGTCGTATGCATAGTATCATTGATAGACTACCCTAATAACCGTTCCAACGGACATGACCTCGTCAACATACGTAATATCCCTCTTGCCATGGCCACGTTTAATTTTGGGTACGGTGGTAATGTGGTATATCCACACATCGAAGCAGGGTATGTTGGGTGGTGGGAGATGGGAGGGGGAATGGATCTTTTTCGTTTTTATAGTATATCATCGTTCTTTTGTAATAGTCTTGCATTCTTTCTAAACACTTGCTCAACTTTCTTCACTTTCTTTTACTAGCATGCGCACACCAGCTTCTTGGCCGAGAGTAAATGCTCTTGCCATGATGACCGTGACTGCGTTCTACCTCCTAATAGGCATACCAGGTTACCTCACCTATGGGCACTTTACCGTCTCTCCCATCTACAATAACCTTCCGGCAGGCTTTTCAGTAACACTCTCAATTGCCATGATCACAATCCATGTACTGCTTGCGCTACCTATTTACTTGACATCCTTTGCTTTGGACATTGAGAAATTTTTGAAAATTGACAAATCGATAATTGGAGCCAGGAACGAGTTTGTGTATAGAGTGTTCTTAAGAGTGCTCTTGATGAGCTTTATAATCTGGGTTGCAGTGTCGGTGCCGTTTTTTGCTGATTGGATGTCGTTTTTGGGAGCGATGGCTAACGGGATGTTGATTATAGTCATTCCAGTGTTGATATGGGTGAAGCTTGTAGGGTGGAAACAAGTGAAAGCTGGGGAAAGAATGTGGATTGTAGCAAGTATGGGAATTAGTATTGTTGGTGCTTGTGTTGGCACATGGGATGCTGTTGGAGTGTTGTGGAGAGATATTGCGAACGGGTCAAACTAGGCGTGAGAATGTATTTGTTGATGTAGATAATAGAGAATAAAGGATACAGGTTGATATCGTAACGAGTATGTTTGCAATGTGTTCAAGAGAATTTTGTTTGCTTTGCCTCAATATCCAAATATTAGTATACCACTGCACTGCTATTACTACCACACTACTACACAATTCCCACTGCACGCTGACGTATTGTGCCTATTTCTGACTCGTTATTTTTCTAGTCCCCTGCTTGCTATTGCGCACAACCGCCAGATTGATGCGATTGCCTTGTCTGATAGTGCAAGATAATCATAAACAAAGTTAAATCGAATTAAAGTACAGATAATTAAATTACGGGGAATAAATAAATTTGTGATGTATTCGTATGTTATTGCATGTATGCTATGTCACGGTATAGTACGGTATAGTATGGTATGTCATGGTATATTATGTTGTGCTAGCCATTGATTGTATTTGCTATGCATAATCGTATAAATCGCGTACATACCTGTGACTATTACGGTTTTTCTTCTTTTGTGTCAATGTATTATAAATTTTAATAAAATAAAGTTATCGGATATTGTATCATTTGTAATACGCACTATTAAAAAAGTCCGATGAATCAACGTAGTTTATACGGACCGGCCGGGGGATTTAGGATCATGATGATATTAATATGACCGATTCTGACTCGAACAACAACGGCAGTAATGACCATAACTAAATATGTCTATATTTCATTCATAAATTCCCATGCGTGACAATAAAGGCTTTGTTGATTGAATAGATACTAACCAATAGTAAGAAATGTCTGATCATCTTGATTATCTGGCATACTGCATAGCTTTGTTCCCGTCGCGTACAGAACAATCGGTAAGTGGAGGAAGAAATCAACAAATACAAAAACATACATCTATAAATACCATATCCGGAAAAAGCAATTGCCCAGAAGCCAAATCAATCGCACGCCGTAAGCTGTGCCATTTATTATTCAGCATGCTTGTTGTATATAGATAACTCGGTTTCTGTATTAATAAATTCGGTATTGAACACTCTCTCAAGCTGATGTTTATTACGTACTCTTCTCTCTCTCTTTTTTTTCTTCACAAGTGGAACAAAATTTTCCCATTAACATGGGGCCTTTTTTGGCATTATCCCTGTGTAAGGCAGTCTTCCCCTTTTTTTTTCTTGGACATGTTGAGAAAAAAAAAAAAAAAAGAAAAAAGGGTCAGACAGACAAATGTAAACCCCTTATGTTTTACACGCTAGTATAATCCATCGGCGTTTACTTTGTTCAAACTTGTAAAAATAAAACAATAGTAATAATAATAGAGTTCAGCCAACAATAATTTATTAGACCCGGCATAAAGTTTATGCAAGCCAATGTATCTTTCCTTTAGTCACAATAAGTGTGAAAGTAACACGACATTGTCGACACCTTTATTGTGAAAAGAAAGGAAAAAGAAAGAGAAGCAAAGCCCAAACCCCCCTTATTTTCCCTAATTGTATTGCTGGCATGACGCCTACATTTAGTTTTTCCGTCACATGTTTATTACTATGGGAACATCTGATTACTATCCGGAATTTACGCGCCAAACGAATCATAGGCAGTTGGCTCATGACATTTCCCGTCAGGCTTTTCCATTGGTCGTGATACCACAGAACATGTTGGACGTGACATTATGGACCATAAAAGTCCAAATTTCGGGGCTCTTTGTAATTTTACTTGTATTGAATCAAAAAGTATAGTAATAGTGGGAGAGATACTATATTTCCTTACAAGTAGTTTTTAATTGCTTACAAAGAATCTCATAAATTTGACTGACTGGTTGATGCCAAGTTTACGTAAGCTTTGATGGGAAATTTTAAATACAATATATTTTAGTGGTCAGTTGAAGAGAGAGAGATGAAGTAACGATAATCAAACCAGCATTTGGCTTGTCCAGAACGAAAATGAAAAAGTATTTCATGAATGTAAAGAGTGTTTGCATTGAAATAGGGTTATAAACGGTGGAATGGGTTATGTATCGAACAAGTTGTTCCACTTTACTTGTCAACGTGTGCATGTATGAATAGGTTAACCGAGTGCACGTATAGATAGGTTGACTTAATGCACTCGGTTAACTACCCGTATATTGTCTATTTTCATAAAGATATTCCTTGCTTTCCTTGCTGATACCGACTACCTGTTCGACTATACGTGTCACGTGAGATATGACATCATTTTACGTCCTCATTCCTCTTAATATTTATTTTTCTTATTTGACAGAACATGAACTTAAACATAAATGGTATTATTTCGTCGTACGGGCAAGTCCCGATCGTATCGTCTTGATGGTACCTGACTTGACGTACAGAGTACAATAAGAATTGATTACATGTATTGTATATATATTCATATACATTACAACATGTAGAACAATCCATTTATATTCGTATTAATATATCCTGTGTGTTTGCTTGTTTGATTTTTCGCTGATTTTGTTGAATAGATTAAAATCTAATACTTGGTAATCAACAATAACAAGACCTCTTTGATAATATTCCCTTTTTTACCTCATTGTCGACTGTTGCCTTCTATAAAATCCCTCTTTAAAATTACGAATTGTTTGTTTACTATTATGTAATTTTATTTACTAACCATAAACATGCTATACAAAAGTATCTTCGCCATGTGTCGGTGACATTGATCTAAAATGATATCGAATCTGAGGACCTCACAAACTCTAACTTTAGAAAAATTCCGCGTGGTGGATCTTATTTGTGTTACAAGATGCTGTCCGCGAGATGTGATATGAATGAGAAGATTGATTGACGTGTTTGTTATTGATTGTTAACGATTTCATTGTAGTATAGATGTATATTGGTGATATGTTCAATTGTCCATCAAGGTTTTACTTGGTATCGCGTATTTAATTTTGATCTCGCAGCTTTCCGATTTGTTTGTTTGTTTTTTTTGGGGGGAAACAAAGCGATGCATTTAATTACATTAAATGCGGAGAATTTCTAATGCCAAATGGGTTGGAAAACTGTTTTTGAACAGGTATGGGCGTAGGAAAGTGACGTTTGAGCGATGTGAACAACAAAAAGTAGGATGAAATAAAGAAACAATCGATTAATCATGTTACAATTGTGCGTTCTAATTCCTCCCCGCAATAATTACTATCAATCATGCCGACTCGTTTATTTCATCCCATTGATCTCTCATCGCTAGTCAGTAAATCCGACTATTGTTTAGCGATAATCAATAATGGGGGGAATCTTCCATACAGATATCAATCAGATTACACAATGGAATGTAAAGTATTTATATGGAATACAGTCTGGTTTTGCAGGAAACAATGAGGTCATGTAACGAATCGGAGAGAAATACCATAATAACGTTCGAATGATCGATTGAGTAATAAATAGATATTCTACAAACAGTTAATATTAAAGATTTTATTGTGTATTCGGTATTTATACTGTCCAATACATGCATGTATTTGACAATGGATTGATAAGGCAATATTGTTTGTTTAATTAATTAGTTGTGTCTTTGCGGAGTAAAATGTGAAATATCACAAATTATCATATAACATAGAAACAAACGCAACAGGCATAATAAACGTGTTCTACCACATCACATATGAACAAATCAAATGCATTCGGGTGTTATTGTTTACAAATTACACTAATATCACCTATCACTTGTCTATAGATTGTTACAATCACGAAAAATAGATAATCTCCACAGAATGTAAAACAAAACAATGCAAATGATTGTAAACAGTCCTGCAATCTTACTCCACTTTCCACAAAAGGCAAACACAATCCGCTCGCCTCAACGTCAATTATGTCATACTCTGCGTCATCGGAAACATTCAAAAATTTTCCCGAGGAGAAAAAAAAAAGCCCTTGTGAGATGGTCCGCCCTCCATCTAACCATTTCGAAATTATCGAATGACCTAAATCAGCCAAGCCTAGATTCTTTTTTTTTTTTATATCCATTCCCAAATATTCACACATACAGGCTATTTGATGCATGTCCCTTTTTCCATTTTCGAGTCGAAAGACGGAATTTGGAGCCAATCAACAGTTTCCAAGTGGGGGTTTGCTTGCCTGCTTGTTCTGTGCTTGTGAAAAAAAAACGTACAACTGTTATAGTATGCAGTCCATCGCAGTCGTCGCAGTATCTTCGCGTGAAAAATGGTATTTATTTGAATGGATGAGAAGCCAACAAATGTGGGGTTGATAGTAATACGTTGAGATATGTTGCAACATATGCTCTGTATGCATCCATTGTACATATTGTACGCAAACCTCGTTCCTAATACATTCATCTACACATGCATTCACACTCTTCAGCCCGCTACCACTTTTCTTACCTCATACCACCGTAACCTAACCGCTAGGCACTGACTAATATTACTTCGCATCCGGTCCCCCCCCATTTGAATTTACCCTGCTCAAATATCTCTCACAACGAATATGCGGTTAGGGTTATGGTTAAGGGATGGGGGTCGAGGGGTAGGAGCAGGGGCAGAGCGGGGCGGAGCGATATAATAACGTTTATTTACATCGTCACCCTAAATGTTTCTAAATGTATCTGTATGCAAGTCAGCCAAGGAAAGCTCTTGTTTTCGATTGTTGACTAATCGACTTTGGGCATAAATGGTCTGTCGAGCCTCCCCGCCACTCTGACATTCTGATGGATGATTGGCCAAGTAATGACTGATACAGTATAGAGAAATGAAAAAATGAAACGTAAAATAATTTACAAGCAAAGCTCTTTGTAATTATCGTCGTAATTAATTTTCCTCTTTCTTTGCTATGAACCACCGACATGCAACTGTCGTTACTAGATAATAACTTGTACCCACACAGTTATGTACATGGGAAAATGCAGGCACAAACACTGATGTTCAGGAGAGAGAACTGCTGAAGTACACTATGTTTTCACCATATGCCAAGGGAGCATCTCTGTGGTGTGTTGGGTGTGCGTGTACGGGAACTTGAATAAAGCAACTTTCGGAATGATCAACTGTTAGAAATCTAATTATTATTGGAGTTGCGATACGATCTATACAGCGACATACACAACAGACCCTTTTTCTCCTGTCCACAAAACAACATACGAGGGATACAGTACCAATTCCGACCTATCAAAACCAAACTGTACAAATGCGCTCGTTATCAGATATTAATAACTAATAAACATTGATGTAACTTTACCACCAATGAACGTCGAGTGTACGGGTGTGCATTGTTGCCGCCATACTATTAAGTTTGGATATATGCGCACAACCACCATTCTGGCTTTCATCATTCAACTCTGGTCTCTGCTTTCCCCTCCCTCCCCTCCCCCCTCCCCCCTCCCCCAGTCTATTACCATGATCTCTGAATGTTGCACTGCAGACTGAATGAGCGAAAATACTTTTTCCTTGCCTCTCATACCCACATGAAAATTTGCCTGTTGGGCGTATTGATCTTTATCCGTAGCAGAAACGTGCTAGTAAAAATATATCATTAATCTATGCTTATGTGTGTTATATTAACGAATGCTGTATTTGTTGTTGTAGTATAAGTGTTACATCTTGACGCATTATCGACTATATACTGCTCGTTATTATCATATGTCACTATCTATGTCATTCGGTGTTCCCAATCCTTGATGCATCAATGGTCAACAGCATTTCTCGGTCGAATAGATTTCGTTTATTTTATCACACATACACACAACACACCAACAAATTGTAGCTAGTATGGTAATTGATAAAGATGGCAACAATAACCTTTTCTCTCTCACATGAAGTTGTAGAGACTCGATTAGTATGAGAGAACATGTAAATGTAATCATGTAATAGCATGTATACGACATTCTGTGCTAAAATGTCGCAATGCGATAGTGGCTTTCGTGGGTGCTGGCCGAAATGCAATTGGTTTGAAGAGAGGTCTTTTTCACCGTATTGCCAATCATTTGTCCAATCTTATCAATAAAAAACTCTTTTTCCGGGGGGGCTTAGTACACTGCCTTTTCCTTTTACAATGTGGCACGGCGATTGACCTAAATGGCGAAAATAAGAGCAAAATATGGATGGTGTTTGTTTGCTACCTACCGATTTGGGAACGCAATATATAGATTGTAATTATAATATAAACAATGACCTAGATAGATATCATTCAGTAGCAAATGATATAATGGGGAAGACTGATAGGAATAGAAATCAACAATGACAATAGGACATTTAATTATTGATAACGGTTATATTGTACAATGACTTTTATATGGTGATCACTTTTTTTTTTTGCTTCGCCATATTTTTTTTCTGCAATCACATGAGTATAAGCGAGCTAGGCGGTAAATATTACATACTACATACATCTTCGTATCTGGTAACGTATGTTAATAAACGCCCACGATTGCACAACTATTATTAACATGATTTATTATTATTTTGCATTACTATTAGCTCATATCCAATGTCCCGTTTTATTACGATTATCAGCTTTTTTTGGTTACATATATGTTTGATTTTTACCTATCTGCATTTCCATTCCGATATACTTGGACACTACACTTACTATTTTCGTATAAACGTCTTTCACAAACATTCGTCCCAATTGGCCTATCGAAAAACCATCTAATCTTATCTTTTGTTCCACCGCAGTCTCATCGAATTATCAAATTATTTGTATTTGCATGTATATACAGTATATTATATTATATTATATTATATTACATCATTTATACAGTATATACATATGTGTATCTGTGGGGACTAGTCTCCTCTTTTACATGTTCATCCCCACACACTACAATTGTACCTCATATAGAAACCGTATTTATTGTCATTACCATAGTGAAGCAACAATATTATAAAACAATAGCAATTAAAAGTATTCATATTTCGTATTCCAATTCCACTCTCTCTTTTTTTTTTGCCCAGTACAAATAAAGCAATTGTCTCTCATACACAGTGCGCACACACACACACAAGCATTTGCTAATATCTTGTACGGCAAACTCAACCCCGCAAAAAGTTTCCTTTTCTTTGATTTTTCGACAAGTTTTCAATGTTGAAAGATCGACCAAATAAACCATTCGGCGCTACATGACATAATACGTGCTGCAAATACCAACCAAATGAAATAACTTTAACTCGTGTCTTATTGAAATGATTATCAAAAATGGACCAGTAAACACATTAACTAATATACTTTGATAATATACTGATCTTTATACATGAATATGCATATTTATTATTATAAAATCTGTCCTGTGTGTGTTTAATGTGTGTGTATATATTAATATATCATGTATATTACATAAGTACTCTAATATACAGACAATATACATACAATATACATACAACTGTACATACAACTGTACATGTAATTCCCCGCAGGGTAGCAGATGAATAAGTGCGACTATCCATTGTGAGTCAATGGGTTCGTGGGAGCAAAAACGCAGTCATACATCGACAACTTATTGTGAACCATGAAAAGTAAATACCGCTTCCTCTTTCTCATAATAGCAATTGGTGGGGTGGGGTTAATTATGACAACAGGCAAGGATTCGATCGCGCGATATATTCAATTACAAAATTATGACACAAGGGGTGTATTATCTATCTATCAGCTACTCTATGGCAAACGAAAGGGCGCGTATTGACCGGCTGAATATTTTCAAGCTGGGCGAGTGATCTGGCTTTTCATCGACTTACTAAGCCATTGATTCATAGATCAACCGAGAAAGCACCGGGATATCGTGAGAACGGTAGAATTCAAATAGCCGAGTAAAAAAGTTTGGGAAACGAATCACTTACTGCCTTGGACAATATAAGCTGCAGTAAGAGTTATATAGATTTTTCTGCTGCTTCTTTGCGCCAATTCTTTAAATATTTATATCTATATATAGGACATTATATTTGAATAGTATAACAATTTATAATAATTATAATAATCATTGATATGTACCTATTTTAATTGATATCTGCATACATTGCATACAATCGTTTGTATTGTATCTGATATTGATTGCTCTTATCTTATCTATTATTTATTGTTTGTGTTGTTTTTATACACATTTAATTGTGTAACATCACATCATCAACTTGCATTGATAATACATTATCGTACCAAACACACATATATTCATTATATATATACATCGCATGGAGAGGAAAAAATATACTATCCGACTTTTTTTCTATTCTATTTTATTTACAGCCTCCATTTCCCCCCTCTTCTCGAGAACCAAATAAATTACACCAACTATAATTATGGTAAGGTCGCTTTTGTTGAAATTTTTTTGCGATCAAATAAAATATAACTCACTCCTCGTCTTCTTTCCTCTCTCTGCGGCCTCTTCCTCTAAACTGTCGTACCGTTGTTTTGGATACATTCTACTCCACTTTACCAAAATATAAAGCCATCACGAACAACACATTCACTCAGAGATAAATACCTCTGTCCGCTCTTGAGAACAGTATCCAATTCCTCTTCTTCCATTACCACCGACTCTTACCCCCATAATCTTTCGTACGACCCTTTCTAAAACTACACATTGAAGGCCGCCCTTAACGAGTACACGATGAATACCACCACTCATTTACTACAACAACTGGAGCGAGTGCAACTCGATCAAGGTAAATCTCATTACGCGTTCTAGATTCACTCTACTTTCAACCTCTTCCTCCACCCACATCCCCTACCCACATCCACTACCCACATTTCCTACCCACATTCCTTACCCATATTCCCTACCCATATTCCCTAACCCTAACCCTACCCATATACCCTTTACATCTCCTTCACTAATCATTACCATTCATGATGGAATTAATTTGGTTATGCTTTATCCATTGTGCTTTACGATTATTTCTCGATTTGTTGGTTATTTTTGGTTTGACGTTAGAGTTACAACCACTTTTGGAAACTTTGGAGCACCAAAGTGTCAACTATGCATAAAATATAAATATATAAATATATACACGTATTCACGAATAATAATAATTTTTTTTTAAATCAAACCCCTTCATTAACATGTAGACTTTGAAGTTCCCCAAATTCCGTTTAATGAGGAATTCCCAAAAATCGATGACCCATATCTACGCCATAAGATAGACGATGTGACGCGACGGTGTTCACCTACGTGCCATAACAGAATCCACTTTGGCATACAACCGGGCATGGATTTCAAATCTTGTGTAAGTATTTTTGGAAACGGGTAAATCATAAATAAATAAAAAAACCTTAATAATAGATATACTTTGAAAGAGTTGTATTTAGTCTCGTCGACTTAATTACCTTTCTTGTCCTCTCTCTATTAGAGAGTAGCATATCCATAGTAACGACTACGGACGTGATCACAAGAAATTTGTTCCTCCCCCTCACTCCCTCCTTCAGTCGATTATTTCTCACAACCATGTCGGTTTTCTTTCCCTTCCTCCCCATCCTTGTCCTAATGCAGGTGCCACTCCGGACCGATGAAACTCTGGAGCTGTTTATAGTAGAGAGCATAATTATGCAATGGTTGCGTGAAAAACATTGGCAACTATCTATAAGCGACACAGTTCCGATCTTACAAGAACCACCACAGTCGTCCGCCGAATCGCTTATGGACAAACTCAGACAAGGTTAGTGAGATCGAGGGATCAAAAATAAGAAGCGTTGGGTTGTTGTTGTTGTTGTTGTTGTTGTTGTTTTGTTTTTGATCAATTCATTCATCGATTTCTTATTCTTGGACTTTAATGCGTGTAGCCTGAAAATTAACAAACTTTTATTCATATTAATAGCAAACGTTTCTCTACACGGGATTGGCAGAATGGTGGTCAAAATCAGAGCTGGCCATGTGTTTTCACTGCTTATGGTCGGCGATACGGTGGTTATAGAGGAGGGGGAACAAAACTTTGCACAACTGGTACGTAACAAAAAAAAAACTTCGAGGATGTTTATTTGCATATTTTTTTTTTATAATTGGCATATCATAGTGTAACTATATGCGGATGTTATAATAATTAGACATGTTAACACACAAAGTTATCATTGATGTCCTTGACTAACCAAAAATTTTCTACTTCTTACCTCCTCGTCTTACACGAAAAATAAAACCTTATTTCTTTCAGTTTCCCTTATTCATAGATGTTTCGGTAAAGGCCGAACCCGCGGCATCAGATACATGCGAAGTGATCGTCGCGATCGAGATTGCGCCTATGAAAGCTGCTAATAATAATATTGGAGGAGACGAGAATGTTCCTTCCTCACCATCATCTTTACCAGACGATCACGACGTCACAGCCCCGTCTGGGCCCATATGTTGTTTATATGAAGAAATGGCAACGGTTGCCGGTGTAGACGTGACGAGCGCTCAACATTTCTATCATGGTGGATATGCGGGTGGAATCAGTGAAACATCATGAGATGTGATGTTAGTTGTTGAGTTGGAAAAGCAAGTGTGCTTGTACAACAGTTGTAGGAAAAAAAAAAGAGAGAAGACGTGAACATTGGACTTTTTTTTTTTAAAACCTTCATTTACTATCCTCCCTACTCTTTTCCATTTTTTATCTCTATTCACAAAGGGTGTGGGTGTTGTATTATAATCATTATATATTATTTACCTCCTTCCCTTTTTTACGGACTCCCTATAACGAGAAACAAGACTATAAATCGTAATGTTCGAAATATCTTTCCAGCCTCCATCGCCATAAAAAAAGGTGGAACGTTCGAGATCTAACAAACAGAAAAAAGGTGTATACGGACGATGATTAGTACTCGGATGAAATAGATTATATGATTATTCCTTTGACGCGAACGTTATAGAAAGAGTGGTAGATACGGAGTGTATGACTAGCAATCATTTAAGATCAACTCGAGCGTGTACGTAATCTTAAAATTTTTTTATACTTCTTAATATCCCTTTGGTTTGTCTCTCCATATGATTTATTTTATATGACAAAAGTATCTACTATATTTTGTTTAAGATCATTCTTCCTTTTATATGTATTATGTTAATTTTATATACAACCAAGCAAAAAGAAAGCCAACAAATATAATTCAAATTCTGAGTGACTTTAATTTTATCATTATACTTACATGTTATCAAGTTAAAGGAGTGTATTGAGGGAGCCATAGTAAGAGATCATGGCCGACACTGTTTTCAAATTGAAGCATCTGATGGAAAAGAATGATCAAACGAAACTAAACATTCGCGATTCTATTATCTGTTAGGTACACATTGACTGCAAGATGCAGCGATACGAGAACTTGATATTACGCACAACGAGAATGTTCGAATCGTAATCAATCCCGATTATAAAGATTTTCTTTCCATCGATAACCTCTTTTTGAAGAGAGAGAGAGAGCACATGCAAGAGAATTTTTGCAAACGGGCAGAGTTTATATTCATTCGTCATGGGGAGGGGGGCATTCGTTCTCTTTCCTATTATACTTGGGACTAGGGGTTGTGTACGATGTGGATCTGTTGTTGACTATCTATGTGTTTCTTTATGATACAGTGAAGAAGCGGTATAACGGATAGTCATTGGGTCAAGTTGATCAAACTGATAGAAATAATTCAGGGCAAGTGTAGATTTTGCGATTGGGTTATGACCGATAAAGTAATGATAGCGGGGAAAAAAAGTTTTTTTACTCTTCCTGGAATACACAACATGGTATTTTTTTCTCTTTCCTTTACCCGCTGCACATTATCTACACCGAAAAACGGGAAATGTTAATCCTCAACGAAGTAATTGTTTTGGGTACTGCAAGAAACATTTTGCTGATCACCTCCATAATTCACGCTCACGCGACCAGCAAACTGCATGTTATCTACGGAGAAATCTAAGCTAAATTCAATCATTCGCTCACGCGACCTTTCACAACTGCTTATGTACACATACAGCGTCCACTGAGGCGGGGGTCAATGCCAGTTTATTGTATAAGTTTATCGATCATTTAGACTAATCTGTGCGTTATTATGATTCCTTTTATACTCTCCCTATTCGAGAATCACAAGAACTCGAACATATCGACTTGGTTATTTCTGGTATTCTTATTGCAGTCACAAGGACGACCAAAGGTTAATGATGCGTTTGCAAGGGACCAAGGGAAATCTGCATAGACTGTGATGATCACCAAGTTGTCATTTATAAAGGTCATCTGTAACGTATTTGTATAACGAAAGATCCAAGTAAGCGGGACTAACCCGTAAAACGTTTTGTTTGTGGAGACGAATCATTCATTGCACATAGTAATAGACACATGTGATCGTTACTCCTCTCTCACATGGAGAATGAAGTCGAAACAGAGAAGAAGACCGATGTAGTAATGAAGCACATTACCATGTGGGCCCGAGTTTTGTGTGTGTGTTTGCTTGCTTGATATGAACAAAAAGAATTTTATTTTTTTTTGAAACAAGTTGAAATACCCATTATGGGGTTTAATTTGTTTATTTGTAGGATGATTTGAGAAAGTGAAATGGGATTCTTATTATTATGTCCGACGTAAATGGAGGCCATTATTCTGCCCAAGGTGGAAAGTAAATACTTGTAAAGTCATCTTTGTGCGAGAATACGTTATTGTCATACTAATACTAAACGATATCAATACAATAATAATCAATACCTATCGTTAACCGCACGAATATCTGTTATATTAGTTTGTGTTGGTTCATTACTAACTGTTGGGGAAAACGAATTATTTCTTAGGAATTGGTTGACAATAGACGATGTCACATCTCGACAAGAAGTAATTTCTTCAATAAGGTATAGATTATGATGAGTTGAAAGTCTTTCGTTCATTGTGGAGTTAGTTAGTGTTACAAGCCAAAAGCAATCTAGAATAGATTCACTTTTTAGTAATTAGTTCGACTTATTCTTCCCACACATCGGCGTTTATTTTGCTGTTTAATAAACCATTATTTATGAAAGCCTCGGTATACCGAATATTACTTGAGCTAAACTTCGTGTACCTCGTTTTACCGAATTTCTCGTTATAACGAATTATAGACGTCTCCCCGGCGGCTTCGGTATAATGGGGTTCGACGGTACCTTGGTTTGCAGGAATATAGCCCAAGTTGAACGTTATAAGAACGTAGACAAGAGATATATGACACCTTGTTGTCTAGGAAGCAAGCGTGAAACCCCAACAGATTATGAAGTTTACCAAACTTGTGATTAAATGGAATGTCAATAACCCCAACAGGATATGAAGTGATTAATACGAAACTTTCATTATACACCGAATCTTATAGTCATTGTAGTTTGCTTCTGCAATGTGCTGTGACGTACCGGCGCTACACAGTTTCTAATGAAGTTTCCAAACAAGATGTAACAATATAATTTACCCAGTGTTAAACAATTGTTAATGTATAGTAATGCATTGCAAATAGTGAAACATGCCGTGTGACAAACACGTCCACATGACTTTCCACGTCCGATATTAATTAGTACAGAACTCTTATCTCTCTAGAATACATTTCCTAAAAGACCAATACATTGCTTTGGAAACCTAAAAAGCACACGCTGAAAAGCTTTTTGCGCCTCTCAGAGAAGGGAATGTTAAACACGCACCTTGTTAGAGACACACCCTGTTCAGCGACTCGTACCATTCGAAGGTTCAGTGGCCTGCAGCTATTACAACGACGCTTACCAAAAGGAAAAATTACATTCTAAGAACTATTCTATTTGTTGGCGTTTATCTAGCACTCAATAAGCACATTCACGTGCAAATCCAGGCATTTCAAAAACGAAAGCCCGCTACCCCACAACAAACTTATACCAGTTCAAAAATGAAGTCAACGCGTTCAATAATATTATCAATATTATCCATAATACTTCAACCAAGCTCTGTACTGTCTAAAGGAGGCGGGGGTGGCAGTAGTGGCAGTGGCAGTAGCAGTGGTGGTGGCAGCGGTAGTAGTAGTGGAAGTGGAGGCAGAGGAGGAGGCTATTATGGGTCCGGCAATAATTCTAGATGGGTTTTTTGGTACTATGGTCCGTACGGAAATCGAACATGTGGTAATCTTTGCATCGTCACTTTCACCCTACTTGCCCTCATTGTTGTTACGATAATTGGATGTCTTCTCTATCATTGTATTTGGTCCCGCAAACGAAAAAAACGAGAAAATTTTCAATCAAACTCTGAAACGTCCCCCCCAACAGACGGCTATTATTCCTCACCGTCAACAAATCCATATCCACAACGTACTGATCTTGAGTCCGGCAGCGTACCTCCAACATATGAAAATGAACCTCCTGCGACTGAACCTATTGCTTGGCATGGGCAGAAACACGAAGCACCAGCAGCTGCATTTGAAGCAGGAGAAAAGTTTACACGAGATTATCCTCCTCAGGAGAAATTACCATCAGATTCTGACATAAGTTACATAATCAATAAAGGTGGTGCACCAGCATATCGTTTTGAGCTTGGCCCGCAAGTTGGCACGCGTCAGCAACCGTCTGTATTAAATGATGGGCGACTAATACAATTTCACGGGAAAGAAGATACCATGGTACAAACAAATCACCCGTTGTTTGTTCCATCGCTTACGGCAGATGCAATAAGTACAACTAGAGATGAGAGTAGTGAGAGTAGTGAGAGCAAAGACGTGAATTACGAGAAAGATAAGAAAAATGTGAAGGATGATAAAACAATAATACGAATGTCTATGCCTATGCCCATGCCCACGCCGATGCCGACGTCCAAACCTACAACGGTATATATTAGTCCTTTCATATTGGAGAACGAATAAC